CACACAGAGACATATATTACTTATAAACTATATGGCCCTGGCAGGCTTCTTGTTATCTAGTTCTTCTGTCTTAAATTAACCCATTTCTATTAGTCTATACTTTGCCACGTGGCTCGTGGCTTACTGGTACCTTATATCTTGCTTGTCACGGTGGCGGCTGGCAGTGTCTCTCTGCCTCAGCCCTCCACCTCCCAGAATTCTCCTCTCCCCTTGTCCCACCTATACTTCCTGCCTGGCTACTGACCAATCAGTGTTTTATTTATTAACCAATCAGAGAAACACATTTAACATACAGAACATCCCACAGCATGTTAGTTTTTGTTTTATCTTGTTATGTTAGAATTTATTTTATTATTGTTCCATAGAAGCCTGTTTGTTTTCTAATGAAAGATAGCAATGGGATGGATTCAGGTTGGAGGGGAAGAAGGGAGGTAATGGGAGGAGTAGAGGGAGGGGAATCTATAATCAGGAAAAAAAAATCTATTTTCAATAAAAGGAAAATCTGATTTAGATTAGATGCAGAAATAGTAAATACAAGGAAATAGAAGAAAAGGAAAGCTAAAAATGGCAACCAAAGTAAAATCCAAAAGAGAGAAAAACAGAAAGGAAGTGGACAATGTCATGGGGAGTGATGTAAAAGAGCAGGGATTACAACCAATGAAGAAAATAGAAACAACTACAAATGTTCCCAGTGATAAGAATATTAAGCAAAAACAGTTATGAATGAAGACATAAAAAATAAAATGATTACAGTACTTTTTTTAATTAGAACAAAAATATATTAAAATTTAGTCGAAAGAAGGGATGTGTTTTGAAGACATGTCATAAGGCCTTAGGTCTGAGCCCTTGCAGAGCACAAAGGACAAGGTGGAACCCCTTTATAAACCTAGCAAACAAGAGTTGGAGGTAGTAGGGTCAAGCCAAGATCATGCATAACAAGTCTGACATTAGTGTGGGATATATCAGACTCTTGTGTCAAAGTAATTAATAAACCAATTAATAAGTTAATTATAGAAAAGAAAAAGAAGGAAGAAATTAACATTAAAAGGGGAATGAAAGGATAAAACTTGTCTTATAATGAAAAAATGCACAAAAAATGAATATCTTAGTGGAAATAAAAATTACAATCACATGTTTTAATATACAATAAAGCCAAAATATTTAAATAGTTTAATGTAAAAATATGAAGAACTAGTAAAGTGAATAAATGGTTATAAAAAGAAGAGAAATAAATGGCCTCAAAATACTGGAGGAAGTGGTCAATACTCAGCCGTCTGAGAAATGAAAATTTTAAATTCTTGAAGATTCCACCTCAAGCAAGTGATAATGATTGTTGACAGGAACATGTAGAGTACAAGTATGAGCCCATGGACAGCCAGGTAAGGATGGAGAAGAAAGGAATAAGCCAAGGCTCCCTACTCTTCAGTGCTGAATACAAGGTACTGATAGTTTCAGGTCAAGGGAAAATCATTGCGTTGATCACTTGACCTAGGCTCTATCCAATGAACCCTATCCAATGACCAAATACACAGATGGCCCTGGTTAAATTGCATAAGTCACACAATATAAACAAAAGTAATTGTCTTTGTTAGGATTTTTATTACTGTGAGGAGACACCATGACCACAGCAACTCTTACAAAGAAAACATTTCATTGAGATGGCAGCTTACAGTTTCAGAGGTTCAGTCCATTGTCCTCATGACAGGGATCATGGTGGTTTATAGGCAGATGTGGTACTGACTACTTCTTCATCAGAAGACAGCAGGAAGTCAACTGACTGTCACACTGAGTGTTTTAGAACATTAACTGTTACAGACTGAGAAATAATCACATTCTTAGTTGTTTTGCCTATGACAAATTAAAAAAACACTTTAATAATGATAACTATCTGGAAGCTAGGAGTGAGTGAAATGCTTTCAATAATAAACTATAAATATGAACAGAGTACCAGGGTATGCGTGAGAAATATTTGGCTCAGAGTACTAGAGCTGTGGCTGGAATAATTATTACTCTATTTACCTTTATTTGAAAGCACATGGATCATGGCTTTTGTTTCATATTCAATAAATAATTTGATCCTCTGATGATGCATTTGCTGTTTTGTTTTCAGTTTTTGTTGTTGTTTTTGCTTTTGCTTCTTAAGTTTCAGGTTGGCCTTGTTTCAGTGTAACCCCATGCCTCTGGGAAAACCCTGATCACTGTAACAGTGGATTGGAATTTACTGCTGAAATGGCTAGATACTCAGTCAGTGGAGACAAGGCCTCAAAGGGATACATGTTGAATGATGCAAGCATGCTCATCTTGAAAATACGTACCATTTGAAAAGTGCTCTCTAAGTTCTTTTACCCTTACCATTACTTTACAGGTAATATATTAATGATTGTTATTTTAAAATGTGATTTGGAGACTGTTTACAAGCTAAACTCAAAATACCACCAAATGGAAGGCATGGTCATATGAATGATTTTGTGAAAACATGCTGGCTGTCTTTCCAGGAGTTTTTCTTATACAGAGGACAATTAATCCGCTTCCCATGCCACAGAACCATTTCTTACTTAACTCCATGGGCACATCAAACATCTGTGTTTAATTTTCTTTGAACTCATTGGAAACTACATTTCTATCAAGACAGGTTCCCATGAATGACTGGCTTGTCTAATTCTCTTCTGAGTCCTTGTTCTTCTTTAGAGGAATCCACACGAGACCATCTTTCTGGACCTGAATCTTTGGTCATCTTGGTGTGGGATTAGACATTTTACTCGCAAAATGCTTGTGTTTTATTTAGTGTGATCAATAAATAAATGGCTTTTCAAGGTCATGGAAATGGCAACAAACTGAAATTTTAGGTAGTCATAAAAGTAAAAGTGAGTAGTAAATTTGATCTGATTAATCAGAGATATTATTTATAGTTGTCTTTTAAATTAATTCAACTTTGTTTTGTTTGTGGGCACAATTGTGGCCTCAGGATGGAGAGCCCTAAACCACCAACTGATTTTAGTTTAATTTTCATTAATGTAATTAGAATCAAAATTTAATATGTAAAAAGAATATGATGGCAAGGTTTCAATGGTGAATTGAGACACCAAGGTAAGTTTCAGTTACTGATTTTGGAACATAACATGTGTAAGACTGAAATGGTAAAGATGAAGGGTGTTAAGTGGGGTATTAAGGATGGATACCAAAGAACTACCAGTCAGGCTCTGGTGATGGTACTTTCATGCCTGGAGACTGAATAGTCATGCTAGTGCCTGGTGATTCAATTTAATTTCATGTATTGAATTAAATTATTTAAATTATTATTTGTATTTTATAGCAATAGAAAATTGACAAAAGTAATAAATTTGTCATCCTTAACCCTACTCATGCAAAGATAAAAATATATATAAATTTTAAAAATAAAATCAAAATAATTGAATTCTGGCAAATATGAAATCTGTGAGGGATCACAAAATGAATGCTGAGGATGAGGATGAAGGAAGCAGTGAGGAAGTGAGGAATAAAGAAGGGGAGGTTATGAACTTGTTAGGACAGTTTATAAACAGAGGCATGGCTTATTTGAGAAGCTTAGAAAAATAATCATAGTGAATTATTGAACAGCAATCTGTAAACATTTTATTTTTTTTTGTATACTTTATAGTCCTCTAAAGCACTACAAGGTAAGACAGAATTCTTCGTGGAATTGAAGCATGTAATATTTAATGGCTAGTGTTATAAGCACAATCATGTATCCACCACAAGGAGTTAACCTAGTTTTATGAATCCACTAAGACTTATTTACAGGAACTGACAATCAGACAATTACTGCTCTTACTCATGAAGGTCTTTTAGTTTGTTTATTTTTTTTGAGACAATAGTTCATTATATATTTAATCTGTGCTTCAAACCTGGAATCTCATACTGGGATAATAGGTATGCACCATGATGGCCACATGTCTCTCTCATACTCTTCATAAGAATAAAAACCAGACATCATGAATACCTTAATGTTGTATTAATCCATGACATTTTGCTTTCCATTAATATAGCATAGCTTTATTTCTATAAACGTGAGGATCCAGGAGCTTTTAAGTTTCTGTAATCATTCAGAGGAAATTTTAATAAATTATATAAAGTTATATTAAAAATTTACAATTCTTTCCAAGTGTTTCTATGTATTCACTGATAAATGAAAGTCAGCATCCTATGTTCAAGGTGGTAAAAAGAGAAATTGCATGAAGATATTCTACATACATGTGTGTGTGAGTGTGTGTGTGTGTGTGTGTGTGTGTGTGTGTGTGTATGTGTAAGAAAATAGACATTAAAGAGTGTGAGATATAGACAAAAGATTAAGCAACTATTATACTAAATTGATTATTACTTACATCTTTCCTCTTACCCACCAATGATCAAGGTTTTCCCAAGGGTATTAATCATATAATATTTCTAGAAATATGTGCAAACTAAAATGACGAAGCAAGTTTCCTAAGTTGTCCAAATATACCACCAGAACAGAAAGCAAAAAAAAAAGTATCTGTGAAAGATTTTGTGTAATGGGATCAGTAGAAATGAAAAACCTGTCAAATTATATTGGCATTATCTGGTTTCCACAGTTCTAGTTGATGGCATTCACAGGGGGATAATGTCCAGTGTGTCTAAGGATTACTCATTAAAAATAACATTCTTACAAGACAAAAAGTCCAAACCAAAACATGGGATTTTTACATTTAATTTTTATTTTTGTATTTTGTTTTTAAGAGTTGGAGGGCAGAGACGGGAGAGGAGAAAAAAGAGAAAAGGAGAGGAGAAGGAAAGAGAGGAAAGAAGAGGAGGGGAAGCAAGGGGAAGACAGGAGAAGAGAGGATGAAGTTAGATGTGTAAAGGGAAGGTAGGATCTGCGAGGAAATGGGCAAAGGGAAATGTAACCAAAATATATTGTATGGCAGAATTAAATAAAAAAAGAAAGTTACAAAAAATAAAAACAAACTTTTTTTTTCAGATCTCCCAGTTCAGTGTTCCATGCCTTCACCAGCAAATGGAGAATCCAATCAATGTGACTGAATTTATTCTTTTGGGAATTACAAAGACTCCAGAGCTAAAAAAACTGTTCTCTGCTTTGTTTCTAATCATGTACATGGCCACAGTGTTGGGCAATGTACTCATTGTAATAACTATAACTAGAAGCCACAGTCTGAGGTCACCCATGTATTCCTTCCTCACTTCTCTGTCTCTCATAGATGTCACCTATTCATCTGTTACTACTCCCAAGTTGATTGTAGATGGCCTTTCTGAGAGAACAACCATCTCCTTTGAAGGCTGCATGACGCAGCTCTTTGCAGACCATTTCTTCGGTGGTGCAGGGATCATCCTTCTCATTATCATGGCCTATGACCGCTACATAGCCATCTGTAAGCCCCTACATTACATGACTATCATGACTCCTCGAGTATGCTCCTGGATGGTGGGTAGCGCTTGTGTAGGAGGATCCATGCATGCAACCATTCAGCTTCTCTTTATGTATCAAATACCATTCTGTGGCCCCAATGTCATTGACCATTTTATGTGTGACTTGTTTCCATTGTTGCAACTGGCCTGCATGGACACCCATATCCTGGGTCTCTTAGTCATTCTTAACAGTGGGGTAATGTGTATGACCATTTTCCTTATTCTCATGACTTCATATGTGGTCATCCTGTGCTCTCTGAAGTCTTGCAGCTCTGAAGGAAGGCGCAAAGCCCTCTCTACATGTAGTTCTCACTTCACAGTGGTTGTGCTGTTTTTTGTACCTTGCATCTTCTTGTACATGAGGCCTGTGGTCACTTACCCCATAGACAAGGCAATGGCTGTGTCTGCTATCGTTGTTGAGCCAATGTTAAATCCTTTGATCTATACCTTGAGGAATGTAGAGGTGAAAAATGAACTGAGAAAGTTGTGGAAGAAAAGGGTGCCTTAAGTGGTATAACCTGATATGGTAAGTAGCAAATACTTCCTACAAACCGGGGGAGATCTATCTTTCAGAGTACTGTGATTCCACTTGGAATATAGTAGTAAGAGATATCCCTTAAGTTTATGAACCTGTCCAAGATACCACAGTGGACAACCTATGCATGTCAGAGTCTAGTTCTAGACACAAACATAGTTTGTACTGCATCTTCCCCAGCTGTCTCTAGTTATACATTTAAAAACTACATTTTAACAATGTGAGCTCCTCCAAGTTTAGAGTAGTTTCTTTTATGTTAGCTGGACAAATATATTCCAAAAATTTGTTTGACTAATTGTGTGTGTTTTTCAAGATATATTCCTATTTGAAACCAAGAGAAAAATAATACTTAACTTTATCTGGTCATTGTCTTCATTTAGTCTTTACTCCTATAGGCACATTTAGTCTGAGAATTTATGATCATGATTTATAATTTAGAAATATTTCTGAGAGGCTGGGAAATAATGTGCTAGCCATGAAAGCATACGGACCTGATTTTTCCACAGAATGCCAGCAAATACCTGGGCAAAGTTTTTGTTCTTTTATTCCCAGAGCTGTTGGGGTAAAGAGAGGCCATGCAGATTCCTGCAACTTGCTGGCCAGGTAGCCTAGCCAAATTGATGAGTTTTAGGTTAAGCAGAGACAGTCACTCTAAAATCTTTCACACACACACACACACACACACACACACACACACACACACACACTTTTTTTTATATTGTCTTCTAACTGTAATTCTTGTCATAGCAGAAATTTTATTTGTCCTTTCACGCTAACATCACTCTGATTATTAACATTACCTAGTAACCTAATATGTACTCAATAAATATTTTAAAGGATATAAATAAAAATCAAACTTACCAGATTAAACATTTGTAAATAAACCTGAAGAACAAGGTAGAGAAGATGGGTACATAAAGCTCTTTGGGAGTTGAAATCCTTCTAATGTGAATGCTTCCAGGTGTACCTTTGGAAAAAATCTGTTTAATAGAGTACTATTCTGATATGGAGGATGTCACAATATCACAATTCACATCTAGTTATGCCACTTTTTAAAGAAACAACTTGTATACTACCAGAATCAGGCACATCATATCCATTTGCCATTATGTAGAGATTGATGTACCAGCCCTCAGCCCGTACGTGGGGTCCTCTAAGAAATGATTTTAGGAGCAAGAGAAAAGTGAAAGATTTCTATAATAACTTCACATACACGGGCCAATGCTCTTCATTCTATATGCTTTTTATTCTCCTGTTCTTTGTTGCTTCTACATTCTACATTCTTATTCCCCTGTCTTCCTGCCATTATAAAACCCCTAGCATATATACATGCATTCATTAGCAATGTGTTAGTAATCAAAAAGGTTACAAGGTCATATCTCAGGAACACAGGCATTTTTTGAAGATACAGTAAAAGTCACATGTAGCAAAGACTTGGTCATCTTAATTAGTGACTGACAGCAGCTGTAGGTTGTAAAAAGTTTTGGCTATGTCTTAAAGGGATAGTTACAAGGGTTATAAAAGGAAGAAATTGAACCAATGAGAGATCTAAGGAAGAGGCAAAGAATATGTTTACTATTTTATGTGATTAATAATATAAACAGCTACTAAGCCTAAAATCATGCATTAAAAATTGATGTAGAAATAAATACAAAGTGTTAATTGTTTTTTGAATCAGAGTGGGGAGGTGCCAGTTGAGGAAGCTTAGGGCATCATAGGTGCTAAATTGTTCTCTTGAAGGACTAAGATATGACAAGGCCAGACACTTTCTATCATTTCTAGTTTGCTATAATTCTTTTGAAGGGTTTTTGTCCAACAAGACCAGGCACCTGCAATTCCATTCTGTGAAAGTTCCACAAGGACACTATGCTTGGCTGATTAAGCTTGTCAGTGGCTAAGGATGGAGAACAAAACTTCTAAGTGTCTACAGTCCCCATGGAACAATAGACCTAGTTATGATGTATATTTTAGTATATTTCTATTCATCAAAATTATACAGTTACATGAGAAACCATTTTTTGATCATACACAATTATGTGTGCCCATAAGATTGAGATGTAATCATAAGATTACATGTACACATTACATGGAAATTTATGATAAATGCAGGGATATCATAGTTGTTCTTAAGGAAGGAATGCAGTTCTTAGGGAAGAAACAAAGTGGCACATGAGAGAAATGCAGAAATGGAGCAACTGGTCATTTATAGTCAATAACGGCCTTGCCAGGTGAGGCTTCCCATCAAAGAATTATTTATTTGGTGGGTTGTCATATGAACACCACTTATCACCTGCTGTATACTCTCAGGGCCCTAGACACAATTACATAGATAAGAACATTTCTGACTATTCATACTGAAATTATGAATGATCTATTAGTTTTCAAAAATGTCTTATCCTGTGTGATCCTTAGATCTAGTGAATTAATAAAAATTAGTTAATTCACCAACCATACTATTTACCAATAGGAATATGTTCCTTATTTTTAATACTCTAACTTCTGAAACAAATTTTGATCTAAAACTTTCAAAAACAAAATAAAATAAAATTTAAAAATCTTTAAAATAAAATGTGACCCAGCAATACATCTCCTTGGCATATTCCCAAACGACTTGACATCTTACTCCATAGACACTTGCTCAGCTATACTCATTGCCACCCTATTCACAATAGCTGGAGGTGGAAACAGCTTAAATATCCTTCAACAGGTGAATGGATAATAAAAATGTGGTACATATGCACAGTGGAATACTATTCAGTTATAAAGTAACTCGTGTAAGAGGTATAGAAAAAAAGTGATTAGAAAGACACTTGAGAAATTTGCAGGTAAATAGATGGACCTAGAAGAGATTATATTGAATGACTTAACTCAGACCCAGAAAGATAAACACCACACATATTCCTCCATCTTGTAGTTCCTGGTTCCAAATCCTCTGATATGAGTATACAACACTGAGTAACCACAAAATGAGGAAAGTATAAAGGGACCATGTGGGTGAGGTGGGGAGAGGAATGGATACAGATAATAGGATTGGAGAAACTGAGCAACAGAAAGGAATTGCCAACTGGGGAGGGAAAAAGTGATAGCAATATAGAAGAAGGAGAGGTAAGAACAAATAGCCCCACAGTGATTTGATAGAGTCTAAGGATTCACATCATATTATATTAATATTTAACATTATATGTAATATGTGTATGAATATATACATATATAACACTATATGTAATATATGCATATATGTGTGTATGTATGTATATCTAGATAGACATATGGATAGAGAGACGATAGATAGATAGATAGATAGATAGATAGATAGATAGATAGATAGATAGAAAGAAAGAATATATGGCTATATAGAAGTTAAACCACTTGTGCTGACAATGTTCCCAAAAGGAATCATAAACTAACAAAAGCGCCAGTACCAGCCATGAGAAATCTTGTGAATGGTTGGTCATGGTGGCTGAAACAACTCCCAAAAGCAAATGATATGAATCATTGATCTAGTCCTAGGTTGTCTCTCAGATATTGAGGGTGGTTCCCTTTCACTGAAGACATAACCCACTTAGGGCACAACTCTGATGCTTCAAGCTGCATCTGACCTCAAAGCTTCTTTCTTGAAGTACAATAACCATGATTCTAAAAAACTTAGGACTGACCTAGGTCTGCAAACATGTTACAGGTGTGTAGCATGGTCCTCTTCTGGGACTCCTAACAGTGAAAAAAGGGGCTGTCTCCAACTCTTTTACTGGCTTTTGGGACTCTACTATTTATACTGGGTTGCTTTACCCAGCTTTAATGGATGGAGAGGTGCTTAATCTTACTACAATTTGATATGTCATTCTTTACTGATATTCATGAGAAACCTGTCCTTTCCTAAACAGAAAAAAAAATCAGAAACGGAGGAGAAGTGAATTTGGGGTGAGAACAGAGAGAGGTAGGGGAGGTACTGGGAAGAAGGAGGGGAAATTGCAGCCAGGACGCAAAATAAATAAATAAATTTATAATAAAAAAAACTATGCAAGCTGCTAAGAGAGTCAGACAATTAAACAGCCTTACCCAGATGCAAATATATAAGCCACAATTACAAGCATTGCAAAATATGCTTAAAGATGCATGAAGTGACACTCATATACCTGTGGCCATACAAGTTTAAGTAACGTTCTTCAAGATGTATGCAATAAAAGTAAGGACATTTAATGGTGAATGGGAGATCCTGAAAGGGCAACATCAAGGTGAATTCACTGAACCCTCAGTTTGTGAGGGTTTATTTTGCCTAAGAAAATGGTTTCCCTTCTTGAGTGGTAAATGTATCTCCACTTTTTATCCTTCCATCATAGCTCTCTATACTTGTGGTGGTTTGAATGAGAATGGCCCCCATGGGCTCATATGCTTGAATACTTGGTCCTAGTTGGTGGAATTGTTCAGGAAGGATTACATGATGTGGGCTTTTTGGAGGAGGTGTGTCTCTAGGAGTAGACTCTGAGGTTTCAAAAGCCTACTCTGCAATGTACTTGAATTCTCAGATAACTCAACGTAATGTAATATAAAACACAGATTATTCTTCTGTGTAAGATGAAACATGAGCTGCTTGCAATGGCTTGAGACTATAGTCCCAGCTACTTGGGAGGATGGAGCAGCATCACTATGAGTTTGAGGCTAGCCTGATAACAGTGAGATTTTGTTACAACAAACAAACAACAGAGAGAGAAAGAGAGAGACAGAGACAGAGAGAAACAGAGATAGAGACAGAGAGACAGAGAGAGACAGAGACGGACAGACAGAGACAGAGGGAGAAAGAGAGAAAGGAAGGAAGGAAGGAAGGAAGGAAGGAAGGAAGGAAGGAAGGAAGGAAGGAAGGAAAAAGCAAATAATGAGGCATGGTCTATCAATTTCTGGAGACTCTGTAGTGTAGAGAAATCTTAAATTAGGCAGAAAACAGGACAATGAAACAGCAGAAATTGGATTTAAATTTTATGTCTTCTTAGTTACATTATCCTGGGTAAGCAAAATAAACTAGACTAATGTCCCAGTTGGAAAAAATATAATTTTATCATAAACTTACTGTGTAGTAAATATAGATGTGGCTTAAAAATAAACCATGAACAATGTATATTGTCTTTCAATACTGAATTTAGATAGTAAATGCTCTTTAAGTAAAGCTGGTCATGTACTATTAATTAACTTTGTAAAATAAATAAGTTGGTATTTCT